CTCTAAGATAGAAAACTCTGGGACCTGTGTCTTCCCAACAGGATAATTTATTTTAGAATTTAGATGGTTTTTATACGTCCCAAGGAACTAGCAGTCACGTGGGATATGGCAGTCACATACAAAGATTTAGAGTACAAAGAAACAGGACATTTAGTCTATTAGTTGGTGCCAGAAGGATTCTTAAACTTTTACTCAAGGTTATCAATGCCCATCCAGTAATTTATTGGCCACATTGTTTTCTATCTTAGAGCCGCTTCTTCCTGCCAGCCCAACAGTGTTCTGCAAGGCAGGGATTATCGGAGCCACTGTTTTCAGTGCCCCTCCCTTTTAGCAGAGAATACAGCCTGGACCTATAAGTTTTAGGCTCACCTCACCCTGGGGCCTGGCATCCTGGTTTCCTACAGTGTAAGACCCTGGATTCAGCCTCATCACTGCCCCCCCCCCCCAAAAAAAGACCAGGGGCTGGAGAGATAGTTCAGTGGTTAAGAGTACTGTTACTCTTGCAGAGGACCCAGGTTTGGTTTCTAGCACCTACATGGTGGTTAACAACTGTCTATGACTCCAGTTCAAGGGAATCCATCTCCCTCTTCTGGCCTCCATAGGCACTGCATGATACAGGTGCACTTACATACATGCAGACAAAGCACGCATACACATAAAATAAAAATAAATTTAAGCCGGGTGTGATGGTGCACATCTTTAGTCCCAGCACTTGGGAGGCAGAGGCAGGTGGATTTCTGTGAGTTCAAGGCTAGCCTGGTCTACATGGTGAGATCCAGGCCAGCTGGGAACTGTCTCAAAAAGACCAAAAAATAAAAAAAGGAGGAGTAGTTTGAAAGTGTGAACTTCTACAGTAGCTCTGAATCTAGCATTTGAAACCAAAATGCCTTTTTTGTTGTTGAGGGAAATGTAGGCTGAGAAGCCAGTTCTCATGGCATGGATGTGGTACAAAAGCAGGCCCCTCTCCCGTTGTCTGTGTGACTTCTGTTTTACTTAGATGTGGGCTGAGTGGCCCTGGAAATGTCCTCACATTTGCTTCCCTTTCTTCATGACCCCAGGTTCCTCCTGAAGGTAAGCAGCAGCACGCTGGGCACTGGTCCTTTGTCCTTTGTTGTATATTGACAGGTGTGAACCTCAGCAGCGACTTCATTGCTGGCTTTTGTGGAGAGACAGAGGATGATCACCTGCAGACAGTCTCTTTACTTCGAGAAGTTCAGTACAATACTGGCTTTCTCTTTGCATACAGCATGAGGCAGGTGAGTGGGATGGGAGACAATTATCATTTTTTACCAGTTTGGGGCTGATGGGAAGGCAGCTGGGCAGAAAAGAGCATGACAACAAGACAGGCCTGTGAGACCACAGGATTTTACTGTCAATTTTTTTTTTTTAGTTAAACCTCTGTCCTACTGTATATCAAAAATTAGGCATTGTTTTGAGACACCATTTTACTATGTAGCTAAGGCTGACCACTAACCTGTGAACCCATCGTGCCCAGCCTGGCTGGCCTGAAACTCATAGAAATCCACCTGCCTCTGCCTCCTGAATGCTGGTTATTAAAGGCATGCTGTTTATTAAATATTTTAAGGTGGCTGGGCTTGGTGACTTAGGCTTGTAATTTCAGCACTTAGGAGGCTGAGGCAGGAGGATTGCAAGTTCGAAACCAGCCTGGGCTACAGAGTGAGATTATCTTAAAAAACAAAAACAACAGCAACAACAAAGCCAAATAAACAGCAGAACAAAAGCCCAGTGCCCAGTGTTCTGTAGACAGTGTAAATGGGCCAGTGTAAGCGGTTCCTTTACAAAATTATTTCAGAAGCGGAGCTTCCAAGGAGCCTGTTGTGTTCCATTTTGCTTCTTTTTCCCAGACATCGCAAATGTACAAGCTAAATTGTTTATGAGGCTAGGTGGGAATGCTTTTCAATATGCAATGAAAATGTGGCACTCCATTGTATAATACAGTGATCCTCTGTGAAGTGGAATAACATTAGTATCAACCTCAGTGTTGTTTAGGGACTAAATAAGGTAGTTTGTGTAAAGCACTTAATATAGTGCTTCCTATAACATCAGTGCTGATTGGCATACTTATTGTTGTGCACAACAAGGTGACATCAAGTATCCCCGTGTTTTAGGATCTTACTTACACCCATTCTGTTTTCCTCTGTGGACCTGGTGGTTCTCTCAGAGGCAGATTGGTTTGAATATCTAGCTGTAGTGTATAGATTTTTCCTTTCATTTCTTAGTTTTGTCTCGCTCAGTGGTTCTCCACCTGTCTTGAGCATGAGCGTACGTGCATAAAGACATGTAAATAAGTATACTCACCGTGGTTTTGGGTGGTTTTGAAACACTTTTCAAGGATAACTTACCTAGTAGGTAAGGTGTGCTTCTGGGTAAAACTCTGAAGGTTAATGATGTATAGTGAGATGCTTCTCTTTCTTTCTCACTTGCTAGTTCCTTCCTTGTAGGCAACCACTCAGCAATTTCTTTTATCATTTTCCAGAGATATTTTATGTATTTATAAACATGTATACTTTCTTTTTAAAAAAAAATTATTATTTTTATTTTATGTGTATGCGTGTATTGCCTACATGTAGGTAAGTGCACCCGTGTTGTGCAATGCCCACAGAGGACAGAAGAAGCTGTTGGATCCCTGGGAATGGAGTTACAGACAGTTGTTAGCTGCCACGTGGGTGCTGGTATTCGAACCTGGGTCTTCTGCAATAACAACCAGTGTTCTTAATCGCTGAGCCATCTCTCCAGCACAACATGTATACGTTCTATACCAAAGACATACATATTGATCTGTACTTTGCTAATTTCAGTTTGCAGAATACTTTGGAGAGCAGTTATATTAGTGCATGTGGAGTTTTTTTTTTTAATTTTTATTATTTTGTGTGTATGAGTGTTTTGCCTGTATGTATGTAAGTGCACCACGTGTACAATGCCTGCTCTAGAACAGGAGTTAGAGACAGCCATTAGCCACCATGTGGGTGCTGGGAACTGAACTCAGATCCTCTGCAAGAGCAGCCAGTGCTCTTCACCACTGAGCCATCTCTTCAGCCTGTACTGTCATTCTTACTAACAGCTGCATAATACTCCATTGTGTAGATAAGTGATAATTTACTAGGTACTAGTTGGTGAGTATTTGGGCTGCTTTGCATCTTGTGTCTCTATAAACAGTGCTGATGAATAGCCCAGTAAATGAATCATTTAGTCTGTTTCCAAATGTAAATTTAAGATAAGCATGAAGAGTAATTTTGAGTTTTTTTTTTTTTTTTGCTATTATTTTTATTTCTTTTCACTTTATTTATTTATTTATTTATTTGGAACTCAATATGTAGACCAGGCTGGCCTTGAACTCACAGAGATCCACCTGCCTCTGCCTCCCGAGTGTTGGGATTGAAGGTGTGTGCCACCAAACCCAGTGCTTAGTTTTTATTTCTTTAAAACATTTCACATTTATTTTGTGTACGTGTGTGGGTGTACATATCCCACAGTTTGTGTGTGGAGTGTTAGGACAACTTACTGGGGTTGGTTCTTTTTTTCTACTTTATGGGTCCCAGGGATCAAACTCAAATTGTCGGGTTTGGTGGCAGGTGCCCTTACCCACTGAGTAATCCTGCTGGCCCAAGTCTGTGATTTTCATTTGCTAAATTTAGAATTTGACTCTACAGAAACGCAATTCTATTTTAGTTACTTGTTTCTCACTGGAATGTTCCTAGTTGGGTTTTGGACATGTCTATAATTTGTAAGAAGAATGAACACACTCTTCCTCCTTAGAGGAGGCTACAAGTTCTTAATTACCTCCATCCTTTTTTTAAAAAAAAAAACAAACAAACAGAAGACACGAGCGTATCACAGACTGAAGGATGATGTTCCAGAAGAAGTAAAATTAAGGCGCTTGGAGGAACTTATCACTGTCTCCCGAGAAGAAGCTTCAAAAGCCAACGAGACCTCTGTGGGTTGTACCCAGCTGGTACTGGTTGAGGGGGTAAGGTCGTGTGCGTGTTTTCTTTTCTTTCTTCTTTTTTTTTTTTTTTTTTAAACACAGTATTTATCTCCTTTATTTAGAATTTACTTGATTTTTCTTGTTTGTTTCTGAAGCCAAGGATGACCTTGAACTTCTAAGCCTCCTACCTCTATCCTAAGTGCTGGGATTGCAAGAGTGCACCACCATGTTCAGTTTATGTGGTGTTGATGTCATATCCAGGGCTTCTGTACTCTACTGTCCCAGCCCTGAATGTTTTATTTTTTAAAAAGCGAGATAGGGTCTTATGTAGCCCTGGCTAGCCTGGAACTCGTTATGTAGACTAGGCTGACCTCGATCTCAGAGATCCATCTGCCTCTGCCTTTAGAGTACTGGAATTAAAGACGTGTGCCACCACATCCCACTTATTTATTTTTTTGAGATAAAGTTTCACTATACCTCTGACTGGCCTAGAACTCACTGTATAGACCCCAGGCTGGCCTCATACTTACAGAGATCTGTCTGCCTTTGCCTCGTGTGGAGGTCAAAGGATGACATGTGGGAATCAGTTTTCTTTTTCCAACATGTGGGTACTGGGGATTGAACTTACATTGTCAAGGTTGACAGCAGACACTTTAACCTGCTGAGCCATTTTGCCTGCTCCAAAATATGTTTCTTCTCCATGGCTGCTTTTTAAGATTTTTGCTTTATTAGTGTTTTTAGCATTTTAATGTGGGTTTTTTTTTTTGTGTGTGTGTGTGTGTGTGTGTGTGTATACACAAGCCTTGACACACATGTGGAGGTCAGATGATAATTTGGTGGGGTCAGGTTTTTCCTTCTACCTTTATGTGAGCTCTGGGAACTGAATTCAAGTTGTCAGGTTTGCACAGTAAGTACTGACCCACTGAGCCATCTTAGCAGCCCCTACACAATTCTATTTAACCTCAACCTTCCAGGAGGTTTTACCCCAGTTCTATGTCATAAAAATCTATGTAATGT